TGCGGCGGGCGCGGGGGCCGCCGCGCAGGCAGCGAAGGCGCTGAGGTACAGGACGGTGGCCACGGCGTGGAAGATCATCAGCTGGGGGAGGCAAAGGGAAGGCGTGAGGGGGTGGGATGAGAGGGGAGCAGAAGGCTCCGTTTCGCGTCCCTGCCCCAGGAGAAGCAGAGGAAAAGGGTCCAGCCCCTCAGGCTGGGGGGAAATGATGGGAAAACACCCGAGGTTGGGCCGAGATGTGTCTGGTTAACACCGCAAGCACAGCAGTGAGGGGGTGGCTGTCACTGTTCTGGGCTCCCCAGTTCCAGAGGGACAGGGATCTACTGGAGAGAGTCCAACAGAGGCTCTGAGGATGATGGAGGGACTGGAACATCTGAGAGATTGGGGGCTGTTCAGTCTGCAGAGGAGAAGACTGAGGGGGGATCTAATGAATGTCTCTCAATACATGAGGGCAGCAAGAAGGCAGGACAAGCTCTTGTCACTTGTGCCCTGGGACAGGACGAGGGGTAATGGATTCAAACTGGAGCCCAGGAAGTTCCACCTCAACATGAGGAAGAACTTCTTTGCTGTGAGGGTGACAGAGCCCTGGGACAGGCTTCCCAGAGAGGTGGTGGAGTCTCCTTCTCTGGAGCCTTTCCAGCCCTGTCTGGATGCCTTTCTGAGTGACCTGCTCTGGTTTTGGTCCTGCTCTGGCAGGGGGGTTGGATTTTATGGTCTTTGGAGGTCCCTTCCAACCCCTGACATCCTGTGATCCTGTGATTCTGATCTTCTGGATTAATCCAGGGCTCCCTGTTTCAAACATTTCTAATCAACTGAGGGCAGAATGAACCAATGTCATTGTGCAAAGTTCTTTTGTTCCATCACCCCAGAAGAACCTGCTCCTCTCAGAGCATCTCCCCAGGATGTTTCCCTCTTGGGACCCCAGCCTTGATCTCTCTCAGCTACATACCACGAGGGGCCAGGGGATCATGTAGAGTTTCAGCTGCAGCTGCAGAAGGTAAGCCATGAAGAAAAGGACTGTCAGTATCCAGAAGAAGATGGACACAAACAGCACCCAGCTGTACACCGCGTGGAGGTGGTACGTGGTGTTGGCAATGAGAGCCCACACCAGTAAACCCAACACCTGTGGGTGGAACAGGAACAGGTTCAGGTGGGGGTTCCTGCAGGTGGGAGGCAGAGCATTGCCCACGGGTGTGGGCCCACCAGCACCCACAGCAGCTGGGTCACCCTGGCTCCAGCAAAGTAGGGCCACAGGGGAGGCACAGAGCTGGGGGACAGCTCAGGACAGGGAGCCCCCCATTGCTGCTGCCCCAGGAGCTGGTGCAGGGATGTCCTGCAAGGCAGGACGGGTGAAACCAGAGCATCCTCACCACCACAGGTCCCTTCTCACCCAGCAGCCCCATGCCCAGTCTAAGCACGTGCTGGCTCAGCATTAGGGACATCCCATGGGCTGGGAGACAACTGGAATGGGGGCTCCTGGAGCCCCAGCTCAACTTTGCCCTCCCCAAGATACAGAAAGAAAGAGGAGAGGAGAGGAGAGGAGAGGAAGAGAAGAGAAGAGAAGAGAAGAGAAGAGAAGAGAAGAGAAGAGAAGAGAAGAGAAGAGAAGAGAAGAGAAGAGAAGAGAAGAGAAGAGAAGAGAAGAGAAGAGAAGAGAAGAGAAGAGAAGAGAAGAGAAGAGAAGAGAAGAGAAGAGAAGAGAAGAGAAGAGAAGAGAAGAGAAGAGAAGAGAAGAGAAGAGAAGAGAAGAGAAGAGAAGAGAAGAGAAGAGAAGAGAAGAGAAGAGAAGAGAAGAGAAGAGAAGAGAAGAGAAGAGAAGAGAAGAGAAGAGAAGAGAAGAGAAGAGAAGAGAAGAGAAGAGAAGAGAAGAGAAGAGAAGAGAAGAGAAGAGAAGAGAAGAGAAGAGAAGAGAAGAGAAGAGAAGAGAAGAGAAGAGAAGAGAAGAGAAGAGAAGAGAAGAGAAGAGAAGAGAAGAGAAGAGAAGAGAAGAGAAGAGAAGAGAAGAGAAGAGAAGAGAAGAGAAGAGAAGAGAAGAGAAGAGAAGAGAAGAGAAGAGAAGAGAAGAGAAGAGAAGAGAAGAGAAGAGAAGAGAAGAGAAGAGAAGAGAAGAGAAGAGAAGAGAAGAGAAGAGAAGAGAAGAGAAGAGAAGAGAAGAGAAGAGAAGAGAAGAGAAGAGAAGAGAAGAGAAGAGAAGAGAAGAGAAGAGAAGAGAAGAGAAGAGAAGAGAAGAGAAGAGAAGAGAAGAGAAGAGAAGAGAAGAGAAGAGAAGAGAAGAGAAGAGAAGAGAAGAGAAGAGAAGAGAAGAGAAGAGAAGAGAAGAGAAGAGAAGAGAAGAGAGAAGAGGAGAAGAGAAGAGAAGAGAAGAGAAGAGAGAAGAGGAGAAGAGAAGAGAAGAGAAGAGAAGAGAGAAGAGGAGAAGAGAAGAGAAGAGAAGAGAAGAGAGAAGAGGAGAAGAGAAGAGAAGAGAAGAGAAGAGAAGAGAAGAGAAGAGAAGAGAAGAGAAGAGAAGAGAAGAGAAGAGAAGAGAAGAGAAGAGAAGAGAAGAGAAGAGAAGAGAAGAGAAGAGAAGAGAAGAGAAGAGAAGAGAAGAGAAGAGAAGAGAAGAGAAGAGAAGAGAAGAGAAGAGAAGAGAAGAGAAGAGAAGAGAAGAGAAGAGAAGAGAAGAGAAGAGAAGAGAAGAGAGAAAGAGCAAAAGAAGAAAGCAAGAAAGCAAGAAAGAGAAAGCAAGAAAGCAAGAAAGCAAGAAAGCAAGAGAAAGAAGGAAGGCAGGAGAAGAGCAGAAGCTTCTTCCCACTGCTTGGGTTGGTTCACCCCTCCTGTTTGTGCAGTTTCTGGGCTCACCCTTCACTGCTGAGCAACTGCAGTGTCATGTGTCTGCAGAGGGATCCATGGACACACAGGTGGGTGAGGCTGGATCTGGGTCTGCTCCAGCAGCCATCAGCCCAGGCAGAACCTGCCCTGCCCTCCCTGCAGCTGCCAGCACAGCCCGTCCCTGGCAGGCAGGGATGGAAGAGGCCCAGGTATCACTTCATTGTTTTCTTATTTTTTTCCTTCCCTGTGCTGTCTGTTCCCTGATCTCTGGGTCTTTGCCCAAAGACCCAGGGAACAGGCTCCTTCTCCAGCATCTCCTCCCCAGGGAACTCCCTGGAGCAGCCATGGCAGGTGATTTATTTCGAAGGCCCCTAGTCCATGATGGGACACAGAGAGATGGGGCCTGGAAAAGGAAGGTGGTTGCAAAGGAAATGGCACCTTCTGTGATTTTCCTCATTAGTTCTGCAGCCTGGAGCACAGCCCCTGCACCAGGACACAGAGGCAGGTCTGGCTGGTGGTCTCAGCTCCACCATCCCAGCTGGACCAGAGCAAAGCAGGGAGCCTTGGCACCCACCTCCCGGGAGGCAAGGAAGGTCCAACCCTTCCACATTTCCTGGCACAACATCCCAGGGAGATCCCCATGGCAAAGCTGTGGTGGGACCAAGCCTCAAATGCAGCCGTGGCATCTTCTGGTTGCCAGTTGGGGCTGGGATCTGTTTGGGTAGGGCCAGAGAAGCCACCTCCTGCTCTCCCCTCTGCTTGGGCAGGGGAACTGTGGAGCCATCTCCCACCAGTGGGAAGGAGAAGGGCTCTTTGGAAAGCTGCTCTGCCCCTGCCCCAGCCCTCAGTGCTTATTGTCCAGGAAGAAACACAAAGGCCTTTGTCCTGCCCCAGCCCAACGCTCTGGTGCTCGCCTGCCCCAACAATGGCCCCTTGTCTGGCAGGACCATTTCCAACACTCGTGATCCCAAAATAGGGTCTTGGTGGACAGGAGCTGGGAGAGCATGTTCTACAGGACCAGCAATGGGCTGGGGAGGTGGGAACAGGGGGCTGAAGGTTCCCTTCTGCTGCTCTTGACTCTGTCTCTCCTGATGCTCCTGCAAGACACCCCCTGGCAGCACCATTCCCTGTCCCTTCCTGGAGGATTTAATCCCCAGCTCAGCCACACCCGGGGGGTCCCTTCCAACCCCTAATACTCTGTGACACCTGAAGGCAGGAGCCAGGTCCACACAGGGGCTGTTTCACTGCAGCTGCTCGGGCACTGCCACCCCCTCCCGGCTGCCCCGTGGGCAGGGGACGAGCAGGGGACAGCCCCGTGGGCAAACACCGGGGCAGGTCACGGGTGGGTGGCCCCACGAGCAGCTGAACCCCCAGCCCTGCGAGCACAGGGACCCCTCGGGGTGCCAGGGGGAAGCAGCTGCAGGAGCTGCCTCCTGGGCTGCCCCCAGCACCGGGCAGACACCTGGTGCTGCTGCAGGTTTGGATGGTGCAAAGATGCTCGGGGGAGCATCCAGGGAACGCGAGAGCCCCGGGATCAGCCCTGCACCCTCAGCCGGGACCCCCGG